ACCTGGGGTAACATCAAAATTCCGATGATCGAACATTTTCCGAACTATTCTCCAACCGACAATAACGTCTGGCTACCAGTGGACGAAAATCCCGGATCAATTACATATGCTAGCCTTCTCGGAGTCCCCGTTGGCAAGGTACCTGAACAGCAGAATTCCACTTTTATTCTGGAAACCTCGTATCTCACGATGGACTGTGTGTTTCAAAACTTTACGGGCAACGTGTCGACCGCTATAATGAAGGAGTGCAAGCCGGATATGGAGGAGAAGTCTTGCCATTCTCAATTCAATTGGGGTGCCATGGGTTTCAACGGGGATCATCGTCAGGCCGAGTGCAATGACCGCATAGGAAACACTACGAGACTCTTTCACTATGCCTTTGGTGGCCGAACACTTGCGAATTGCACTCTAAAAACATCCTACGTCAAGATCGATGTGGAGTGTCTTGGTTGGAACTGCCGACCGAGGTTCATGTGCCGAGCCGACGTACCGGAAAGAGCAACCGTAACTGGAACCTTCTTCAATAAGTTCGGCATATGCCATGCGGGAAATCCTGCCACTCCTGAGAGATTCTTCGATCTTTTGAGAACGGTATCCGACCCCCCCTCAAACAGCGTCCCAGCCGAGTACGACATAACGGAATTGTATCTCGTAAACCCCGATTTTGGGTTGAATGCGTCGTCGCTTGGAGAGATTCCGTCATCGCATACACTGACGGAGGATCTCTTCTCCATACGACTAGCTCAGCTCCTCAACACCTATTGGATGGCAATAATTGGCGCAGAAGCCCTATACTTGGGTCATCCCAAAGACTACAACAATATATTTGCGAAGGAGGCCGTCGCATTCTCCGAAGCACAAGCAACGATACGTTCCGAGAAGATGATCATTCTCTACGATGTAGTATGGATGGTATTTCTTATTGTCTCAGTAGTAGTTTTGCTTCTCGCAGCAATTGCTGGACTCGTGCTTGACCTGAGAATCCAGGTTCCACGGCTTCTCATGAACGTCTCAACGTTGACGAGGGGAAACCCAAATTTTGGCGTTCCCACAGGCGGAGGAGCCCTCCCAGATGAGGCGAGAGCTAAACTTTTGGTTGGCTTGGAAGTGAGATTTGGAGATGTTGAGACTGAAGATGGAGCTACTGACTTGGTTATTGGCGACTGTGTGGAGAACGGGGGACGGGTGTCTCGGCGTGGCAATGGAGTGCTTCTTTTCTGAGTAATGTTGAATGGCTATTAGGGAGGAGACTGGAATAGAGCATCATTATCTTGGACTCATATTCTGAACTTCATTCGATGGTTCCTAATGCCGTCTAAACACAAGAACCAACTAAGATGACACATCCGGGTCCGGGATAAGTGGGTCACCGTCCGACCCGTGCCGGATTTCGGCTGCTGGTGGGTCCAGCCTTTCGGCCCCGGGCATCCTGAGGACCTTGATGTGATGATGATGACTTGACCTTCCGGAAGGCAACGTCACTCAAAAAACACGTTCTCATCCCGCTAGTCGACCGCCTTTTCATCCGCACGATGAAGACAACACGTCTACCGCTGCGACGCCGACCTCCGGCGAGTCACCCTCGCTCGATCGAGGTCTACGACTTCTACGGATTCCAAGAACAATCTTTCACTTCTATCAAAGCATAGATTTGGTCTTTCACTCAAGGACAGCAACCAGTGAACTCTGTCTTCTTATCCCATTTGATTTTGTGTACGGCCGCTGTTGTCAGATTGACGCTTTCTTCAACTGATTTGCCTTTCCAGGGAGGCACGGGCTCGATACTTTCTCGCTTCCGACTGCTTTCACACTAGTCTTACAGCAAAGGACAGCCTTTACTTTGCACAAATGTATGTCTTGGTCTTGGGCTGTTGGATATGGAGAGTTTACGAGGCAGGAATTGCCGTCATATCCCCAGCCTCTTCGCTGGATGAGTGGTGCGATCGTTACGCACCTTCTTCATTTGCCTCGAAGAAATGTTATCTGTGGCATACATTGTGTTCGATCTGTTTTATGATAAGAACCAACTATACTCTCCTCTTTCACCAGTAATAAACCCCACCTGTATCACGAGGTCTATTGTCCCGGCTCACCAACTCCACTGTCTCCAGGTTCTCATCTCTAATATGTGAGATTCAGCATATCAGCAGCCAAGTGATTGATTATCTCTGATCACCTTTTTCCTCAGCTACAGAGGCGCAATAGTCTCTCGCCGGCTCGTTTCTGGTTACCCTGGAAAGTTTGACGCCAGGCTATTATGCATGAGGAGGGAGATAGAGTTGGACTTGATACAATGTCTCGAGATCTTACTTCACTGTCATTGTTACAAGTCCCTCATGTCTAGATGCCAGCTTTGTAAAACGCTGGTGCTATTAATCAGTCTTACTGGTTTCAAACTACCATTATCTAGCCATAGCCGAGTTGAAATGCGTCGTCTCTAAAGTCCTTGGGAGCCTCAATATGAAACACCGACCGTATCAGCCCCCTTTACCGGTTTCGACGCAAACAGACAGCACGGTTGAAGGTAGGCGAAGGGTTGAAGCAACCACAGGACCCCGACGAACTCGGGGTTATGTCGTGAACTTACAACATCTTCCATCGAGGGAGCGCGTTTGGGTCTCGCTCAAACCGTTGCCCTCTGTATACTCGGACAACAACGGTACTCAAGGACAAAGGCAGTTGATCACGTCGATCGACCACATGCTACATTGTCGATAGCTGCAATGTTGTACTTGACCCAGCTAGCAACATTAGCTGAACCGCAGGCGCAGGTCAAAATGTCTACGAAGGCTGCACTCTTACCCTAGAGAATGACTAGGTTTGATCTTATTTAACCTTCTTGCGGGACCAGTAGCAAGCCGTCGGACTCTGTCGTCTGAGCCTACAACCTGGGTAGAGCAACTACCTACGGTGGGGTTTCTCTGCGGTTATTCGTGTGATACTACGGAGTACCAGAAGATGTTGCTCGAGGATGTCCGTCATCAAGGTTCATACAGTCATGTTATCTTCAGCTTCTTCCATCAACCAATCTCCATCGGCATACTCAACCTTGACGCACCGAACTTGAGTCAGTAATCTCCCACCAACCCTCAAGATAGCCCCTTGTCGGGAGGGACGGCCACTACGGCAACTACTCGAGCAGCCGAAGTGACGAGCTCCTCAGTGACAATACCCCAAGATGCTTCCTCGAGTTCGCTCACAAGCCCCCAGAGTCCTCCGACTACTGCCTTGAGTAAGTGGACAGAGTGACGCGATATCTAGGGACGAAAAACTGACGGCGTGTCATCCTGCGCCTTGCCCACTAATGGCAACGAAAGCGAGAAAGTCATCTTGTTGCTGTAGTTCAACGTAACGTTTCGAGCTCGGATTGACCAGGCTTGGAGGTGAAGGGCACAGGACGTTCAGGACTGAGCACCTTGTCTTGGTTGGTTGGTTAGGTGGAGGAAGAAGTCTATTAAAGTGCGAATCTGTACGCATAGTGATTATTTGTTTTCTCCATATTTCGGAGTCGTGACTTCCATGCCATTGATTCGACTGGTAATACCTCTGGACTAATGAGATCTTTGGGCTTATGATATACAAAAGGCGGATGTGTGCGTAGGCGGTGTTACAGACTGTCCGCCGCTGTTACCCATCGGCATTGTCCAAGAATCATTCCAGAAAGAATACCCTCAAGAATCGGGATCCGCCTGATTGACTTACTGCCAAGTCATCGCCGCCTTGAACCCCTCGGGAACGGATGAGTTGAGGATGCTAACTGAAATCAGATGCCATTACAGAGGGCATAACTGTGTTTGCCGGCGTTGGAGTCAGACATCGACAGTTCTGGCGTGTATCATCAGCTGTTAGTAATACACACATAAAGCCTACACACTCAGAGAAACCAAGGGTCCACGGAACCAAGAGGTTCGCGTCCAACTGGGTCTTCATCGCATGTGTAAGTGTAATCTCCATCTCGTCCTTCGCATTGCGTCCATAGATACAGCATTTCATGTTGCCCAGGCGATAATGCCCCAATTAGACACGAATAGCTTGCGAGAGATGACGGACAAGATCAGTGAGATGGAAGCGGGGTACAGGCATCATCACCACGAACGACATCGAGTTTGTACTGGCCTCCCGAAGAACCCAACACTGTTGCGGCGCAAAATGAGAACCGGAGAATCTCTGCAGCTCCGAGCAACGCCCAGTACCGAAGGTTTTGAAACAGGCAGAGAGCGAGCGCGGCGGCACCTGCCAGTCTTGAGAGGGAGGATCGCGAACGTGGAAAACAGCGCGTGGAATACAGACGGCTGGTACGTAGGATTTCGACAGCGGCTGATCTCGACCAGATGGATGTTGACGACAAGTGCCAAACGGTGAGCTGCACAGGGCCAAGCTTGCTTACTTGGAGTACTAGTCCATCATTCGTGTAGTCGATGGCACCATTCGAACGATGAGCTTGTGTTTGACACTTCGTCATCTTTCGGTGACGGTAGAATAGCTTCATGTATGACAGACAGTGAAGGTCGGTGTTTTGACATCCCATGAGTCTGATATCGCTCGCCCTATGCTTCGAGGAAAGGGAAGCCTAATGTGTAAAGCGACAGATCAAACAGACTGTATCACACCGAAGGGCAAGCAAGTACTTCCTTGAACTGTCATCTCTTCAAGACGTCGAAGTTATCTCAGGACCTCTCGCGCGTACACATTTGAAGACCATCGCAGCAGCTGACAGACAGGGGCCGGAAAGCAGACGTAAAACCACGCAAAAGAGACCATTTTTGACTTTTTGAACGATACCGTCCTTTAAGTACCTAGATGAAAAAAGCCTTTCATTCATTGTGCAACGACCAGAAATTCAGCCGGCCCAGTCCTCGGAAACCATGACGCAAACCATTTTTCCTTTTCTGCAAATTTTCCCCGAAAACTGGCCCTTCCCTTCCGTATTCATCGTTGGCTAGAGCGGAAACATGTGTCGAGGCACATTCTTGCCTATGTGTTGGCAGATATGGTGGCATTTATTTGCCGCCGAGGCTGGGGAAAGCAGACTCGTCCTTGGTGTTGATGGGGGCAGCGCCGCCGCGGGGAGCACCGCCACGGGGGGCACCACCACGGGGGCCACCACGGCCACGGTCGCCGCCGCGAGCACCACCACGGTCACCGCCGCGAGCGCCGCCACGGGCACCACCACGAGCACCACCGCGGGCACCGCCACGGGGACGCTCAGGCTCGACGTAGCGCTGGTCGATGTCGATGAGCTGCTTGGTCTTGCGCTCACGCTCACGCTTGGTCTTGCCGCCAGTACCGATCATGAAGTCCTCCTCCTCGCGGGTGACCTCCTTGACGTTGGACCACTCCTTCTTGAGCTTGGAACCCTCGTTGGCCTTGCGGATCTCGATACCGGACTCCAGGGCGGCCTTCTTCTCGGCCTGCTGGACGAGGTAGTCGGCGTAAGAGACGCTCTTGTCCTCGGGCTCCTCGGGCTGGGGAGCGGCGGCCTCGGCATCGGCATCCTTAAGCTCGGCCTGGGCAATGGCCTCACCGGCCTGCTCGTCGTTGCGCTCGGCATCGCCCTCGGTAGCACCCCAAGACTGGGCAGCCTGCTTCTCGGAGCCGCTGCGAAAGATTAGTAACAGGAAGACAGACGGAGGGACCAGGTGTATTTACCTGCCGGCGGGGCCCTTGGTGTGGCGGTCATCACGCTCACGGGGGAAGCGGCCGCCGCGACCTGTCTCCCATGTCAATACAGGTAACTACCTCAATCACCTTGCGTGCTTTGGTTGCGCAAGGCGACGGCAGGATGGTACGAACCTCCACGGACGCGGGCGCCGTAGCCGCCGCGGGCGCCGCCTCTAGCAGACTCCTCGGTGGTCTTACCACGGTTGCGGTCGCTGCCAGCACCGCGGTCACGGAAGGCTGTCGGCAAAGAGTCGGGTCAGCGAACCGAGCGACAAAGCGGGGTTGGGTCTCCGGGAGTGGGAGAGACGCAAGTCCAGATGAACGTACCGGCCTCGTTGCCAGAGGCGTTGTTGCGGCGAGCACCGGTGTTAGCGGCGGCACGCGAAGGGGCCTCAGGCTCGACGTTGCGCTTGGTAGTGCGCATGGTGGACTTCTCGACCGTCTTCACGGGCGCCTGAGGGGTGTCATCCTCGGCATCGTTGCCTGTCGCGGGTGGTTAGGGCATGTCCAGAGAAGCGAGGGATATTCGTCGGATCGTAATCGAGGGTAGGGTATCATACCGAGGAGCTCGAACAGGTTCTATTGAGGTCTTGTCAGTTGATGATCCATGGCGGACGGACGGTGAGGTCAAAATTTGGACTCAAGGGCGATAACGAGGTGAAGGGTGGTGACGACGACAGCGAAGACGACGACGACGCACACACAAACGGCGAGACAGAAAAAAGCCGACGAGCAAAAAGACAATTGGAAATAGAGAGGGAAAACATAAAACAGATCGAGCTTACCTTGCTAGCGACCGACATCTTGTCGCCTGGATTGTGGTGAACAATAGCGACCTAGTCTAGGATTTGATTTGGGTAAAGAGACAAGGTTAGAACACCATGACCTGGCGGTGGTGATGATGCTCAATGGGGATATGGACCAATTGGTGCCGATGATGTTACTGATGGAGGTGAAGAAACTGCGCACGATGGGGCCCTTGGGGGGGGTTTGCGGGTGGGACAAATTGCAGCAGTTGGCACTGGGAGAAGTACGAAAAACACGAAGCGGGCACGGAGCAATTAGGTCAGGTAGCCAGGACACGCAGGGTAAGAGAGCAGCCCAACCACCAATCACAGGCTTCAAACGCACACAGGGCACACACAATACGGCCACTTTGACACTGACATTGACACTGCCCCTCCCCTCCCTCCCGGCATCCAGAATGCATAGTCGCACTGTGCCACGGTACCTGAGAGCCAGCTGTCTGCGACGCTCTGTCGGGGAGAATTTAGTGTGAGATCATCGCCCACCCGTCTCGCTTAACATTTCTACCGGCCTCCAATTTTGTGTGCTTTTTGGTGCCATTTTTGCCAGTCTTTTTTAGGGTTCTAGACGCGCTCCCGGCAGCTGCGCCTTTCCCCTCTTGCCTGTTTTTCCGGCCGTCAAGCTCACCTCCCGTCAGGTCCTGTCGACGCCCGACCTTGCACCTCGGCCAATTTGCTCTCCCGATCCCGGAACTCCCGTTGGCAATCTGAGCCGTTCCGTTCCATTGCTCCCGACTGAGCCGAGGGGTCGTCTTCACAACCACCAGTCCCGACTTCGCTCCTGCTCCTGCTCGTTGCTCGGATTCACGATGCGAAAAGGAGGGGCGGCATGGCCATGCCCGGCATGTTTCCAATGACCCCAGCAGTGAGGAGCTCCATCCGGAAACCAACCCGAGCCCGAACTCTCATTCGCGACTGTCGTCATTGTTGCCATTGCTGCCCGTATCGTCCAAAACCCGCCAACGCCGCCCACATCCATCGGACCCGGGAGCTGGGGAAGCAAGCTCGGTGCGCCTCTGCTTGAGCTCTTGAAACCAAGCTGTAGGTCGAGGCACACCGTTTTTCGGATGCAAGATGCAAGCTAAGCCTCGGGGGCCACCCGACGACGCCGTCGGCCAATGTCATCTGAGCGCGCGCTCCACAGGCCACAGAGCTACAACCTGGGGAAAACTCAATCCGCATCTGGCCGTTGTCGACAAGGTACACCATCTCGCAGCTGCCAGCCGTTGGGTGTTTTGGGTGACGATATCGTCCATGTCTCTTTCACGCTTGAACCCCGGTTTTGCTGTCACTTTATGAGATGCCGATCTTCGACGATGGGGTCCAGGAACATGTGACTTGTTCCCGGCCGTTCGGTGACCTTCCGCTTAGACAAGGTAGCATGTTTGCGGAGCTTGACCTACCTTGATATCTACCTTGATGCCCTTCGAAACGAGCTTGCTACGAGGCTTGCGATATGTCAGCCATCAACGGACTTATCTCGAGTGTACCAAGCTCCACGCGTACTCCGGAAAGTGATAGTTAATGGAGTGAAATATCATTGCGACGCGGTATGTATCTATGGCGACCAATTGGTGCCTTCCTTGCAAAATCCTCCCTTGAACCTCAACTTCAATTACCAGATGAAATCAGCGCTCCCTTCCATGACATTGTCTTTCCAAGCCCTCAACGCCGTATGGATCCCTCCCTGGCAGCATGCATGCTAGCTTAAAAGAATCGCTGTTCTCCCTCAACTCGTTGGTGCGGAGCAATAAAAGAGTGAGATGCTCCTCAAGGCGCCGCCACAACGTCAAACTCTAAGTATTTGTGGGATATGCTGCCGGTCAATGGACATTGTACATCCTTGGCAACTCTGTGCGCGGCGCGCCGAACCCGTCTCGGTTACTCAGAGACCAAATGTTGTCGATCGTCTGAGTACATGAACGCCATAAGCTGCTTGTAGGTGTGTATCGACAGGTTGTATTGTTTGGCCAAGGCACGCAGGGGCGATAGCTTGATCTCCTTTCTCGGGTCCTCGTGAGAAACGATGAATCTGACTTGACGACCGTATGCGACTTGCTTGCGGTACTGAGATCGATGTCCAGAACCCGCATGATCCACAACCTTCGTGGGCTTGCACTTCGGCAGGCCTGACAAGAAGCGACGAGCAAGCTTCTTCCTCTCCTTGGGACTCTGCGGGAACATGCGCGTCTTGGTAGTGCCTTTGGCCTTCTTGAGTTTCGTGTCCAGGGCTCGATTCAGTTCCTGAATAGCCCGCTTGCCGACCTTGCTGGCAAAATCTTCCGCCTGGCGGATGGCGGCGGGATGGATATCAGGCACCCACTCCAGGTGCTGATTACGGTCCCAGAAACACTTCATGGTAAGAAGGATCAGCACATCTCTGAGGTAGCCTCGAATGCTGTACCCCGCCTTGCCGTCGGTCTCAGGTTTCAGAACGTAGCGATCGAATCGCAGGTTCGGAGCCTGCCAACTCGTAAATCGCTGGAGAAGACGAAGGACCTCTGTCGAGTCTCCGTTAGAGAAGGGTGAGAGACCCAGGTTGTCCTCCTCTTCGGCCCTTCTCATCAGAGAATTGACTTCATCCCAGACCTCGTGGCTGTTGAGAATAACGTTCGCCTTGGCGACAATGTCAGGTTGGATCTCATCTTGGAAAAAGCGCTCTTTCTTTTCGTCCCGAAGAGTTCCGAGCCGAGAAATTCTTGCGGCGTCCATGAGCATTGCCTCTCGGTTGTACGGTTCTCGCAAGCCTCCCAAAATCCTGCTGAGGCGATTCTCTACTTCCGTCTCTTCGCTATCGAGCTCGTCCCACTTTCGCTGAGGTCGCCATACTTCGGGCTTGAAGTCGATATCCAAGTTCAATAGCCTCTCCAAGAGCTGAGGCTCTGACTGGTTTCCCAGGAAAGTGGGTTTCGTCTCCCCTGTCAGACTCATGGCGGGCAGCGCGGATCAGCTGCTCGAGTTCGGGTTCTTTCCCTATGCTTCTGATTGGCTGGAGGTCGTGGTTTTCAGTACTTGTTCGGTGATCGAATTGGATAGCCAGGTCTGCGATCGTTAGTTACATTTACACACATTCAGATAGAGGAATGTACAACCTGAGGATGACTACCGGCAGTCACTTATGAAAGACGATCGGTGGGATGGTGGGAGAGGGAAAGTTTTGTGATCCATCGGAATCCAGTATTCTTGATATTTTATACTAAGATGGATGCGTTGTTTCCGCAAAAAGAAGCCATCGTGAGGTCTCTTGCCTCGTCGAGAACGGGAAGGAACATCGCGAAGTGGGTCGACTCCTTCCAAGCCCTAAGATACTGCGCGTCAACACTTAGCTCTGGTCAAATTAATAATTGCAGATAACGCCATAGAAATTGGTGCTGAAGAGAAATAGTAGATTCGATATGAGGGTTCCAATGGTTCTTGAGGTATTTAGAGCACGATAATATGAGCGATAACTGATGTTGTTGAAGCCGCCAACATCAACGACACCCCCGTAGCTGAAATCCGGATCGGGAAGGAGGGCTTTAGTCATTCCCTGGGGAAGCTGGGCACCCCGGTCGAGCTCCTGCCCCGGCCCATCACGGCACCACCTCGGGCAGCAGGCATCCTGACTCTTCCGTTCACGCTACAAGGGCCGCCTGCCGGCTTTCCAGCGACGCATTCAAACCTGCAACTGATTCGCCAGCATGGCCAAGTGGTAAGGCATCGCACTTGTAATGCGGGGATCCTGTGTTCGATCCACAGTGTTGGCAACCAGCATTCATTTTTGCATTTTTTAATTCTTGCGTCTTGTTCGCGATTCAGAAGAACTAGCAGGAGATCGCTGGCGCTTCTGCTTCTGGCGGTGTGGTTTTTCGAGGTTCATGCTTTTTGATGATAAAGTTCGTCCGGAGTGCATTCCCCACACTACACAACCTCACGCGCTTAACCACGTTCTGCGGAGTACCTCCGACAGTACCTCTGCCATGAAGTAGAGTTGGCAGCATCGGGTTGATTACAGGAACACTCGCTTTTTCCCACGGCCGATTTGGGCTCCAACTGGTCTGGACTGCTGCCGGGTGTATCGACCACCGACTGCCCTTGGCCCAAGGCTTCCACGAATGTGGTTCAAGTCGACGACTGAACCATGCGGACCAGAAGCCCATGAGACCTTCAAACGTCTATCTAACTCGCATGGCTTTTGTGATGGGTCATGGTCAAAGAATTCCTTCACTCCTAAGTTCCGCAGAATGGCAACAACTATGCCCTGGCAGAGGCCGGTGAAGGCGGTGAACGGGCGGCTTAGGAGAGCGGCTGCCGCCGCATGATCATGAACAGTACCTTAGAAACCAGCCCTGTAACAACGTTTCTGAGGACTTTCCGCCCGCGTTTTGCCTAAGAATACTTGCAAAGAGATGGCTGGCAGCGAAGCAACGTTGTGAATCTTAGCTGCCCGAGTCCAGCCAAGACGGCTTGGACCCCATCCAAGGGATGTTCACCGACATGTCGTCGTCCGTTTCGACGACGACATGTTGACAGGTACTACTATCTATAGGGGTTTCTCTGTTGAAATCACGCAATTTTATTTATATCTGATATCTTATCTGGTCTAGGTATTCGTCGATGTGTAGGGTTTTATCACCAGTGCAACGTGCTTTTGCAACCAATATCGCGATAGAAAACTAGTCAGGTTAGCGACATCGTTGCTTAAGCCGCTGGGTCTTACACAGTTCCGGAGTTCTAGGGTATCTCATTGCTAACTCGACCTATGAGGAGAACCAGGATGACAGCGACGAGACAGGAGTCTCCGCTGTGTTGTACTTCAACTCTTCCAACGCACATCAGCACAGAGAGAGTACTGAAAGTCACCAAAGAAGAAGAGCGAACAACACCGTCAGTAGGCCATGGATTCTTGTACTCGTCCTCTTCTTTTCCGTCTGCAAAATGCTATAAATAGTTGACGTCTACACCTAAGAACATGACTGAGACCGCCGCAATAGCTGCTGGAGCTGATGCTGCTATACTTATACTTTTCCTTGCGTGAAAGAAGACGACTTACTAATGACTCCGGAAACGCCTGGGGCAAACGTACTTTTCGATCTGTTGTCAAGGCACGATGATAACACACGGCATTACACGACCAGAACCAGGGACGAAAGATGACAGTGACAACGAGTGAGTATAACTTGGCGGCCATACCACAGTCAGGTTCTCTGAAGTCTACATGTATCCATACAAAGAAGCAGACGAGACGAGCATTTACTTGATGAATCAAACCCCGCCAATATGGCTATACTACTCCAGTCCTCGGTTACGTTTCCAACAGAACCTGAATTGACATGTCTAGAAACCCTGACGCAGCGTCGGCTTCTCGATGCCCAGAACGTAATCTCATGTTCTAGAGTGAGACTGGAGTAGAATCTGGCCTCAAGCGCCGCACCCGCTTCATAGAGAAGGCTCGTTCTAGGTCTTCCGCTCCAAAGACCATCTCCTGAGTACCACTAAACCTATATAACACAGATACGCCTATATGCTTCGCGCAAGCTACAGGACCTGCTTCTCGTACCTCTGAAGCGGATCTGGATTCCATTCGCAGTTGAGATGGCTCAAGCATTCCGACGATTCCCAGCCGAACGAGATGAGCTTTTGGTTTGTGTCGTTTCCTATGGCTCTGCTATCATCTTTTTCAACACTTACTCAATTAGCTGAACGTGATATTCTGTTGAGGTGGCATACATAGAGCTCATGTAGCTGACGGTAGAACTGACATGAGTTCCGTCCCGACAGCATTACCGACAAGCTCCTCCTTGAGCGCTATAATAACTAACTCCACACATTGAAGACCGCCTTCTGTTTGAGCCAAACGCACCGGAACAGAGGTTTTGCGTCAGGACCGAGCCTCTGAAGTCGTCTTTCCGTACGTTTGCTCACTAATTCCCGAGGCAAGACCGTCCCGGTGATGCCGGAACCCGACAGGCGTCGTGTCGAAACCGCTTCTGGTCAGGCTTGAGAATATACGGCAATACACGAACGGAGCCGGAGATGACAGACGGAGTACATCATCGTTGACGACGTATGGGTGAAGTCGAACCATGGCACACTCCTTACACGGAAAATCTTAGCTCTACTGCGTCTGATGAATCAATGACCCGAACAGACAATGACATCAATCCAACAGCCGCATGTTTTTCAAGAGGTAATAACGCATCTGAAAAGATTACTCTTATATATGGCCTTGCTAGGTGTCTTAGTGTTAGCACCTTACATCATCAAGACTAGAACCACTGGAACTAACAGATACGAACCCGCTTCACTTGTATGGAATATGTACCACCTCGACCATCGTACGTTGCCCAGACTGTCAAAGACATTGAAGCACGCAATCCAAGTGTCTCGGCCCCAAAGAAAACTACAATCAGCTTGATTCCAGGCTGAGGAAACGGCCCAAAAAGGGCACCAGACGACGGATCCCTACAGATCCGTTCAACAACGCTCAAAGCGTCCCCAACGTATTCACTCAAAATAACCCGGATCTGCAGAAGACCACCGACAGAAGAGAGATAACCAGGTCAAACAACAAAACTATCGGAATCACGAGACACATTTGCCGGGGAGGTTCCAAGCATGCGATCACAGCCCCATACCGCTCGATCCATCTTTCACGATGGAATCATCTCCCTCGTTTGCCTTATCATCGATAGCTTGGGTATCAAGGATCGCAATATATACACACTATCGGTGCCCTAGTCACAGTAACAGGACTCCGAAATCACCAATGTCAGATACAAGTTCAAAACCTACGAAACATTTGGAATACGTGACTTATTTTAGTTTAGTTTAGTTTAGTAAAGGCCTGAGGTAGCCTTCGAGCTGCTTAGCTTGGCACCGAAACTATTGGATGATTGAAATCTCTTGTGAGATTTGATTTGTTTACAAAATCTCCCTCGACAGGATTTGGGATTTCGGCCGAATCGCGAACATTCACGTTGCAAAGCGAAGAAGAAGTTTAAGTAAAGTCAAGTATTAAAGATTGTGTAATGTCTAGCAGTTATAAGAGGTAAAGCTTTTTGAGCTGTCTAAAGAGCGTAAGAAGGCAGCCATGCGGACTCCAAATCAAGAACTCCCCGTCTATGGATCTTTGCGTCCCCAAGATGTTGCCAATGTGGTTGGCGAGATGGTTACCGAAGCGGAACTTAGTAGCCAGTACCGAAGGAGCCACACTTGCTCTGGCTGAGAACGTTCTTGTTCTCGGACAAGCAGTCTGACAGCTGGGCCTTGCACTTGTTGTTGGCGGCGTTGTAGTTGTCTGCGAAGAAGAAGCGCTTAGCGATCTCGGGAGCAGAAGAGTAGGCACCACCGCTGCGGCGGTTGTTGTAAGCCTTGCAACCCTGGACGTAAGTGCTCTGGCACTCGGAGTACTGCTCCTGGCAAGCGTCGGCGCAAGCGTTGGGGACATTGCCCTTGCCGTAGCCCTTGCATTGCTTGGATTCGGACTCGATGTAGAGCTTGAATTGGTTACCGGCCTGGAACTCCTCCTTGAGATCGTTGCAAGTGACGATGGGAAGCTCGATGCCACCAACGGGGTTGCCAGGTCCGTAGCCGTACATGCGGCTCGTGGGCTGCTTGCAGAGACCGGTGGGAGGAGGGGGAACAACGCTGACTGGGGTGGAGGTTGAAGTCGGCTTCGTGGGGCAGGCGAAGGTGGAAACTGAAGTAGTTCCGGGCTTGTATCCCTTGGGGACCTTCTTCTGGAAGCAGTCCTTCTTGCCGCAAGAACCCTTCTTTCCGGAGCAGGAGCTGGAGCAGTAGCTAGCAACGTCCTTGCACCAAGCCTTGAAGTCGACGCAGGCGGCAGAGTTGGGGAAACCAGCGTTCTTGTAGCAAGCGTTGAGCTGGAGGTGGCAGCGGTTGCTGGCCTTGCTGCAGCTTTCCTGGTCGTCAAACTCAGGGAGGTTCTTGTTGCACCACTTACCACAGCCGTACTCGCAAGTGGCGGGGGTGACAATAGTGGTGGTGCACATAGCCGGGGCGGTGGTGCTAGGAGTAGGCTTGGGAGTGGTGGCAGGCGGAGGAGGAGCCTGGGTGGTAGGAACCTTGGAGGTGGTCGTGGGAGGAGGAGGAGGAGACTGCGAGGTGACCTTGGAGGAGGTGGTGGAAGTGGTTGAAGTTGTGGGCGGCGTGACAACCTTGGGGGTGATGGAGGTGCTGGTCGACGAAGTAGCCGGAGGAGGCGGCGCCGGCGAGGAGATGGTGGTGGAAGTGCTGGAAGACGAGGTAACCGGAGGAGGGGGCGAGTCCGAAGAGATAGTGGCGGAAGTGGTGACCGGAGGAGGAGGCGAGTCCGTAGAGATGGAGCTGGAAGACGAAGTGGCCGGGGGAGGAGGTGGGTCGGAAGTGACGGGGGTGATCGTGACGATTGCGGGAACCGTAGACGACTCGACGGAAGGCGAAGAGACCGGGATCGTCACGGGGACGGAAGACGAGGGCGAGTTGGCAGGTGGGACGTAGCCGCAGGGCTCAAGAGACAGCAGCTGCTGGGAAGCATAGATCTCAACAGTTCCGGCACCACCACAGGTCTGGGTCGAGTCGCCCTTGCAGGGTGTTGCGCACTTGTCGGCCGTGGTAGACACAGAGTAGTTGCCGATGACTACGCCGCAGTAGCACTCCTGGCCGAATTCAACACCGGCGAAGGGGTATCCTTGAGCGGCGCAGGTGGCGATACAGTTGGAGGGAGTCATGGTGTCGGCGGAGATCTTCTGGGGCTCGCCAACGGTGCGTCCGTGACCGGTCTCGTCGGTCCAGCAGCCGATGGACTGGTAGGATTTGATGACATCGCCGTTGGCAGTCGGGAAAGTGGTATCAGCCCAGACGGAGAAGGCACCTGGGCCTCCACAGGTTTCAGTCTGGTTACCCTGGCACTCGTAAGTGCAGGCGGAGTCGTCGAGCTTGGGGCTGTTGATAGTAGCACTGCAGTAGCAGACACCGTAGTAGGTGAGGCCGGCGTAGCGGTAACCGTTACCCTTGCACTCAGCGGCGCAAGACTCGGCGGTGGTCGTCTTCTGGTCGATGGAGGAGCGGAAGTCAAGAGCATCTTCGCCCTTGGTACCCTTGTCGGCGTAGCAGCCGGAGGAAACGAAAGGCTGGAAAGTGCTGAGGCATGGCGGCAACTCAACACCGGTCGCGGTGACCTGAGTAAAGAGAGAGGCGGCCGCGAGAGCGGCGAGGGCTTTAAAGAGAGGAGCCATTGTAAGCGAGTGAATGGCTGGTTGGTAAAGAAAGACTGGACAGATCTTTTGCGAAATGCAGAAGAAACGAATGTGGTGGTGATCCCGGAGAGGGTTGTGTGTGATGATGAGAGGGAAGTAAGACCAGGATGAGAGGCATCGAAGCCCTCAATATATAGTGAAATTTGATCATATCGAAAACCTCATGATGGTGTCTCGGCGCGGCAGCAGTCAGGGGAACGGGAGATGCGCGTAGCGGCCGAAGTTCGAGTAGTGCCAGGTCGAACGGGGAGAACGCCACGACTAGAGTGTTAGCGCGATATCCAAGGATAGAACGAAAGAGCGCGCTTACTCCTCGACGTACAATGTACGCTGAGTTGTGGTTCGAATGTTGGCCTGTCATCACGGATGAATCGGCAAGAAGCGGCCACATCGTGGCACTGATGGTAGGAGCAGTTGGACTAGAGTCTAGTTGGCAAAGCGAAAGCTGGGCGCCATCGCGCCAGGACGATAGACACAAAGTATGAAGGGGAGTAACCGGCGCGCCCTCACTTGTGTTGGCGTTGGTCTTTGCAGAGTCGTATGGCGAGTCCTATGCTTCTTCTGGTCAAGAAGCAGGACCAAGATGTGGTCGTGCAGAAGTGCCTATCATTTTAGGACGGACAGACGCAGAAAGGTTAAGTTCAACCGTCCGAGCAAGGGAGCCAAGCCAGAATAGGTGTAGCAGAGCGACTGAAGTATGACGGCCAGGCCTTTTCTGGATGGCGGCAGTCGGCGGATGACGGTCAAAAGTACAAGGGTCTTGGTTCCAAACACACGAAGAGTTGTGAGAATGGAAGGAAACAAAACCTAACAACAGGGAGGTACTCTGTGGACCGGGAAGTTGCCCCTTGAGGCAAGAGGCAGTTCCCCACCATATAGAAAACGCTCAGTCCCATTGGCGCAGCCGGGGTTAAGCTCAGTTTACCCTGGTCTATCACCAACAGGGGGGTCTTAGAGCTCGTACCTGCATTAGACCTGACTTTCCCGTCTAGACTTCCAGTTTAAGTCGTAATTCTACCAGGGTCAGTGAGTACCTAAAGCTGCTGCTTCTTCCATTTAGAGCCTTTCATAGATGCTCTAGACTCTTGTGGGGAGGTTCTGACTGTTGATGCCGTCAGGTCCAATTTCCCGAAATCTCCTTGCTCGATTACCTGTAAGCCACAGACGCACGCATCGTCTTTGAAGTCTTCGTCCCGTTCTGAATCAGGGGAAATACGTTTCGCCAAGAATATCTTTGTCGTTCTGTGACCAGGAGAAACGTCTTCCCCAGACCAACAACACCACTCACTACTCGACCGATCCGTCGTTTTGTTCTTAGCACAAAGGGACATCTGACAGAGACCGCACTGCGTTGACTCGGACCGGGATGGCTTGGAGCTACAACGTCACCCTAATTTCCAACCGGTGCCGCGGCCTTCACTTGCTGCGAACCCAGCATCGCATCAGCTTTGCATTGATCAGGCGCGCTTTTGCACGGTCAGCCTGTCAACATTGGCCTGGGGCTGAGACTTGCAGCTACGCACAATGCAGCTTGGGTTGCATTATTGATCGCGACCCCGGGTCCCTGGCCCTGCCATTCATCGAACCCCAGCAACATCTCGAGAAACAGCGCGGCTTCAAAAGCAAGTTCTCGTATATTCAATCGCCTGGGCAGACTGTAGATTACTGCATCATCTGCGATGCTTCAGCTGATAAGCAACAAGGGCATGGTCGAATACATGAATCGGGTGACGAGAAATGCCCGCACAAGAGATATTCTCTCCGCGAACCTTGTATGCTTCTTCCAAGATCACGATCTTCATGATGTCCGTGCGAACACCATGTTCGCGGGTCGAAACCTTACAGCTACCAGCAACAAAGATCTCCGAAGATCCATGGTTCGGAACGAGGCGCTTCCACCCAAAAGATCGGTAGCTTTTGGAAGCATTCACTGCTGTCGAGTTGTCAGACCAGTCAACACCCGCCATATTCCTAGACACAGACCTCTCGACTGCAGCTGAGCATCGCTGGACCCTCAATGCACGGCCGTATCGCCTACGAGAAGATAGGAACCGGGCCTCGCAAGCTTGGCATCCGAGACACGGCAACTGAATCCGAGAAGACATTTTGAGAATCAACCTTAACCGTAAGCTTGTGAACAACAACCTTAAGCATAAGCTTGACTTCGTTTGACAGTTAAGTCGAACCAATTTGGCACCATCAACGACACATCCTCTTCTTTGTCGGTCACCGCAGCATGATTCAGGAAGTCCATGAATTCTCCCGAACCATCTGAATCAGGTCAATGTCAGTTACTTTGGTTCGCGTGCGGCGAGAGGCACCATGTCATTGTTGTTGCCGATCACTGCTCCAAGCGGCTCCCACAGTCTACAACTAACAACAACTTCTCGAATGTGGAATCTCGGATCTCAAGATGCCAAGAAGAACCGTCAATCACTAGGAGCCGCGTCACCTGTTCAGAGCAACTCGAACGAGGCTCGATCCTTCCGGCCAAACATACTGTCAATGCATCCGAGCCGACCTGCAGCATCAGACGCCTCTGAGCCCGCAGACTGTCATCCCATTCAAACATGCCATCCGAACTGCAGAAGTCATTCTTGCATTCAACAGCCAACATAACACCAACCCGACAAAGACTCGGGAAGCAAAGCTGCTGCGCCCCCACCACCCGTCGACGGCGCCAGCCCAAAGCCAACAGAACCACAACAATGCGCACCTGAAAAGAACCACCGCTAGCGAGCCCTCGAGCTAGGGAAGTTGCTGAAGTCCGACCGTCCGTCAGTAGAGGGAACAACTCAGCAGAAGATTCAACCAGCCCAGAGACTGAGGACCCAGCAAGATGGTTTCGACAGATCTGGGTACCTCACCGGCGCCACACACGTGATTCCAAAGAATTGCTAGACTGCCCTCGCTGCTTCAGACCATTTGTCGGCTCACGGCACCACAACCGCATCTTGGCTTTCATGGCTTTCGTGGCTTCCGTTTCCCCTTTGGCGGTTCCCCTTTCCAACGATACCGCGCGGCAACGACCTCCAAAAACCTCCACACCTGTAGCCTCGTTGCTTACGGCGGTCTGAACCACAGAACTCGATATCTATATAGGGAGACGGCTGAAGTCAAGCGGGCTTGATCGGTTCTCCTCAAATTCTCCGATCTTTTGTGGATGAGGCTTGCAGTATCGTTGCAGTTTTACCCCTGAACGGGAGAAGATCCGGGGAGATCGCGAGGGTCCCCCGCTGAACCATCGAATGATGCCATGCCGCACAAATCTAGGCCGCTGGCCTGACAACGTCCTGAGGCTCTGTTGCCAAGGCGGCTGGCATTGTGCGGTTCAGCCATTGCCAAGGTCGTAGAATCTCTAGACTATGCGATTCGAACACCTCGCTGTACACAGAAAATTCAGTATCAATCAACTCTGGATATGCAAACGGGATCGGTGAATAAGAATGAATGAATGATTGAAGATGCCAAGAAGTCAAATCCAGCCGTTGGAATCGAACCATGCCAAACGTCATTCATTAATCATTGTCACATTTCACTCATCTGACCAACGATTAACGGCTAACGGTAACATTCTAGTCCCCCGCACAATGGAAAGAGACTTCCTCAGGAGCTCTAGATTACATCGTCCTTTTTAAAACAACCCAACGCCAATGCATACCCATGGCTTCGATTTAAGCCTTGTCCCGGAGGTGCCGGGGCACCCACTTGCCCGCTCCTCCCGACGGCTTGAGCTGCTCCGTAGCAGGCGAGCCGGTGCGATCAGGTCCGGGGCGACCGTTCTCGTTCCGTCCCTCCCGGTTGAGGGGTGCACCACCGGAGGCGGTGCGGGAGGGAGGAGGCGCGGAACTGCTGTCGCCACCGCCAGCGGCAGCCTTGGCGGCCTCACGCTCGCGCCAGCTGGGCTTGTTGCCAGCCAGGTTGAGACGAGGCGGGCCACTCGGGCGGTCGCCGGAGTCGGCACGCTCGGTGCGCTCGACGCGCTCAGGGCGCTCAGCACGCTCGGGACGCTCAGCACGCTCGGAACGCTCCGGGGGAGGAGCGCGGGCCGGGGGTGCCGAGTCCGCGGGACCAGAAGACTTGGCGGCTTCGCGCTCGCGCCACTTGCCGGCTCCGGGAAGGTTGAGCGGGCGACGGCCCTCGCCCGAAGGCTCGGCGCCGCGCTCGGGCACGCGGGACGGAGGAGCTCTGCTTGCGGACTCTCTCTCGGCCTTGCGACGAGCCAGGGCCTCCTCTTCGCGTCTCGCCTGGAGAGCAGCCTTCTCGAGACCCTCCTGGCGCTCCTTCTCGCGCTGGTCCTTGAGGCGCTGCATCTCGGCTCTCTTGGCCTCGGCACGTCTCTCCTGTTCTTCCTTCTCGCGGGCGGCGCGCTCCTCGGCCTCGCGAAGTGCTCTCTCCTTCTCCTCGCGCTCGCGCTTCTCCCGCAGCTTGCGCTCGCGGTACTCCTTCTTGCGAGCAGCGATCTGCTTCTCCAGCTCTCTCTCGGCATCTCTGCGACGCTTCTCGAACTCGTCGCGGCGGCGCTCGTGAAGGTTGGAGCGGAAGGACTCGTACTCGGGCATCAGGCGGGTGAGGCGGTGCTTCAGCTCAACGGCTTCCTTGTGCTTCTCCTCAGCCTCCTTGAGAGTTTGCTTCTTGACGGCTTCGTAAGTCGCGCGGTCCTTCTCGACCTGCTTCTTGTAGTCGTCGCCCAGCTTCTTGGCCTCCTCCTGGCGGAAAGCACGCTCCAAGTGATCCATGCGCTTCCAGACGATGCGGAGCTTCTCGTTGACATCGTTCTTCTCGCGCTTGAGCTGCTCCAACTTGATGGCGTGAATAGCGCTGGAGTCGAGGTTGTCAAGGTTGTCAAGGTCCAGGTCAATAACCTTGGGACCAATCTTGAGGTCAGCAATCTGCTTCTTGAGTTCCTCCTTGCGGACGCGGTCACGCTCGGCCTTCATTCGCTTCTCTTCACGCTCCTTCTGCTCGGCAGCGAGACGCTTGTCCTCGGCTTCCTGAAGCAACTGCTCACGGAGGCGCTTCTGGCGAGCGTTCTCTCTCTCCTTCCGAGCCTGGGCTTCAGAAGCTTCCTCCTTGCGCTTCTGGATAACCTCCTTTCTCGCAAGAATGGCATGGTGCTCCTGCTCAGCGCCAGCGCGGGCCCGAGCCAGAGCGGCTTCCCTGGCAGTCACAAGAGACTGGGTGTAGCTAGAGTCGACGTAGAAGCAAGTGGTGTGCAGCGACTTGACGAGACGGGTGAGTTGAGAGCGGACAATCTCGGAAGGAGTGCTCTGAAGGCGCTGGACGGAGCTGCCATCGGCCTCGGCGGAACCAGCAGAGGAGCCAGCGTGAGCAGCCTTGGCAGAAGAGAAGACGTCGTTGTCGAAGCTGAGAACGCCAGTGGCGTGGTCCATGCGGATGGCCAGGTCACCCTTCTTGTTACCGTTCATGATGAACTTCTCGATAGTACCACGAGTAACCTGGAAGGGCTCGGGGAACTCGGCCAGCTTCTCAACGAAGCTGAGGTCGACGGTCTCGTACACTTGCGACAGCTGCTGGAACAGTCTGGTGAGGATGACCTGCTGAAGGGGCAGGATGTACTTCTCCATCTCAGCGTCGGCGCCAATCTTGGTAAGAATGGGGGAGATCTTCTGGCAGATAGAGAGGGGGTGGAAGTCGACCTCAAGGATGTTGTAGAGGTCGCGGATCTCAGGGCGAGCGCGCTTCAACAGCTGCTTGGCGAGAGCGTCGCGGAACAGGCCAGCACGGGTAGGAGCTTGAGACATGCCCAGCAGGTGGGTAAGGCGGGCGTTCTTGTTCTTCCGCGACTCGTCGAAATCGACCATGGCACCGCGGGAGCGAGTGGTGCTAATGACGGGGATGGCCAAGGCGGACAGCAGCACGAAAGAGGCGGCCTTCTGAAGATCAGCCTCGGTGGCGGGCGGGTTGTCGGCCTTCTTGCTCTGACCAGTGGCAACCATAGCGGCAGACTGGCGCAGGAGAGTGTAGTATCTGGACCAAGCAGCGGCGTGGAAGAGGTAGTTCTCGCCGACGAGGAAAATACGGGTAAGCTTCTCGTAGTAGTTGGCCATCATGATGTTCTTGGGAGGGCGCTTGCTGAGGTTGAGGAGGGTGTGGATATCCTCAACAGAGCGGAAAGCCTCCTGCCACAGCTCGAGCTCGACGGCAACGTTCAACTGCTGGAAACGGGTCTCCAGGTGGCGCTGCAGAGTGTCGGGGTCGCTCAAGTTGATGGCGTGCATCTGCGCGGAGTACTTGGCCGCGGTCTGAACATGGTTGCGGAGCAACTCGCAGAGTCTGCGGAACTCGGTCTTTCTGGTGTACTTCAGGCAGAAGTCGAAAGCCTGCATGGCCGTGCTCTGGTAGAGGACCTCGAGGCGAGCATTGTTGCGGAGGATGTCGAGGACGGTACGGTAGGCCTCCCAGAGGAACTTGAGCCAAGGGGTGACGATGGCACGGTCGGTTCTGTCTCGGGACTGCTCGCCGGAGACGGTCGCGAGTAAAATGCTCTCGGGGGTCTCGGTCGCCTCCAAGTCGTCAATGTTTGATGTCGAGGTCGTCGCGTCGATCGATGACTGGACCTCATCGGCCTTCTGTTGGGCCGCGGTGACCTTCTCCGCCGCGAGTTCGATAAATTTCTTGAGCACCAACTATAATCTGTCAGCTACGGCGCACCCAATATCCATCATATGACATACCTCGATCGTGCCGACGTTGGTGTTTTGGCTAATATTCTTGTACTGGTAGAGGGCATCCTTCGCAAGCTTTCCCTTCTTCAACTCGACTGAGAGCTCGACGAGCAGGATCATAACCGGCTCGAGGGAGGCGATAGGGACATTTCGGGACCTCTTCGATGTGATGTGCTCGTGCAAGAGGGTGAGCGCGGCCGGGGTCTGCTTGACCCCGATCAGCTCGTGCGCCCTCTTGAGCACATTCTCGGGTTTTTGGTGCGGCGGAGGAGGCTGTCATCGTCAGTATTTTGCCCATGCTAGCAAGAAGCGGAAGAGGGGTAGCGCAAAATGATATTTCACGCAGCGACCGTGTTGGAACATGGATGGGCAGGACTCACCATTTTGGCCTTCCTTCCTCTGCAGGTATTTTATGTAGAGTACGTGTAGTTGTTGATGCCGTGTCGCGAGCGAGGAGGATTTGGCGGGCTGCTGCGTTGGCTGGAGGTCGCATTCGCTGAGAGGAATTTTCAAATTTCGTGTGTGGCCCCTACCGAGTTCTGAGGGGCTCTTGCCTCTGCCAATCTTTCAGTCCGTGCGTTTCTTCGAAACGTCACGTGTTGGCTAAAGATTATGTCAGCCGAGGCTACCTACTTACCACTTGAATATTTTGGTGCTCCAACTGGAATTGACACAACAACACTGTGAATTCTTTTTTCGCACTGAATTCTTTTCTTGAGAAATTTGAGTTACTACATAATAACTCATAACCAGCGAAGAACATTACCGACAACCTGAATCAATCCGTCGAGTGGATCTGGGGCTGATAGGTGGTGTCTTCACAACGGGAGGCAACTGGTGACTGCTGGCCGACATACCTAGGCGGAGTCAGAACATCTCATCGGATTGGCAAAACTGGCATGGCGTCCGTCGTTCACTAAAAGCATCAACACCATGCATGGTATGGCCCACCAGCATTTCACTTCCTTCTTGGACAGGATGAAATGATGCTCTCGGGAGTCGGAACGCTTGTCTTGTTTCCGAAGGATCGCGTAGTATTGGAGATTATGTCAGCCGAGGCTGTCAGCAGCTTACATTACCTACCTACCATGGTGAAGGGCAAACTTTGCCCCATTTTTGATAAAAGTGAAATAGTGAATTGATGATGCAACGCCAAAGTGAGGTTGGATTGATCGTCCAGTAACGGAGCAGACGAGGTCCCCGAAGAGAAAGTTGGGAGCTCTCCAATTCGAGTGAGTTCTGCGTCTAGATGTCTAGATAGCGCCATCTTGCTCGAACCTTAGCTCCCACTTGATGGACATGCTCCGCGATCACAGCCCGTTTTACCACCAGCCTTGTCAGTTTTTTGATCCAACGAACTCAAATGGCTACAACGTCATGGAGAACGGCTTATTCCCGTCCCTCCCCCCCACACTCACGCGCCTTCCGAGTTTAATGGTTGACTTCACACATCTCTGTTCTAACTTCTTGGTGGTGAGCCGGGTGCCGCGCCCGTGAAATCGTATTCGATGATTGTCGTTGTCCGAACAGGGGGCAAAAGTGCACTTCGGGGAAACGGTGCAATCTTGGTTCCCCAGACGGCCAAAAATGACACGATGAGGAAAAGGACCGATACAGATTGGAGCTGGGCATCATATTTGATATGCATGTTCCCAATATAGAGGATTGCGCCATCTCTGTACCAAGTTTCCACGAGCTTGTCCTTTCAGCTGGGCCCTCGGCACTCCCCAGTCCTTTGTCTTTGTTGGACGCAAAGGTTGAGAGGGCGGCCGAAAGCAGTCCGGTTGAGTTCCATCGGACGTCTCGATGCGAATCATCATTGATGCCCATTGAGACTCTGCGCTGCGAACCCCTCGTGTCCTGACAGACGGGCGAGGGCATAAGTTGGGTTCGGCAGCCAGACGAGCCGTCGGCATAGGGCCGCAAGATGGATATAGATTCAGTTAAGTCGGCAGTGCAGAGTCAAAGTCTGATCTCGATGCCGGGTCTTGGTATCGTTGATCCAGGTAGTACGTATGTCAAACATGAGAGTTCGCCACAGATGATGATGAGTTAGTTGTATGGCGTTGTGGTTCGTCTGCGCCGTCATCAAGACGGCGGCGTCCAATGCGACGTATCTGTTGGGTGAAATGTCGCGTCTCGTGATGCTTGTACGCGATGAGAGGGTGGTAAACGGGGTGCCGGCCTGCTAGGCGGAAACCCAATTTTGTGAGATTGCCCGCTCCGGCCAATTTCCAGCCAATCCCGCCAGACCTGGGTCAAGACCAGACGGGTCCGTGCCGCGTCCATCGCTGGGCTGGGAGGAGGGAAAATGTGAGAGAACAGCGACCCCCGCTGGCTTGAATTGAAAAAAAAAGAGGTACCTTACCTGACCAATGTACATCATCCACCCTGGTCCGGGTCGTCTGAGGTGCGAGCACCTTCTCACTGCACCTCATCTCGGAGGGGGGCATCTGCACTGCGACTGCGCAGCAATGGAACCGGAACTGAGGCACATGGTGGATTCCTGACAGACATTGCCAGCTGTCAACTGTCCGTTTCGTCTCGCTTCAGCGCGCGGTACGGAGCGGTGCTTGCTTCAATTGTGCACCAGGTGGTCCTAGCGCAAGGTAACCTTACCGTCCTAGCCCTTTCCTTTCATGTTAGGCCTAGGGGGACCTTTCCAGGCTCCGCAATCCAATCCAATCCCAGCAGGAGGTGCCCACCCTGGCCCGGGCAGGTAAGGTACCTCACCTCACCTCACCTCCCGTACTGGACCCGTCGACGCAGGTGCAATCCCAATTCCCGTCCCTTTCTCTCCCAGTCCACCTACCGTAGTACCTGGACAGTCCCCAGTCTCGTTCCCCCCTACCACCAAAAGAATTGGAAGCGAGAAGACACAGAGAAAGAGGAGGCTACCTGGACCTTACCCTTTAACCAAGCACGACCAGACCTGACACTTTCTCTTTCTCCTCCCCCGTCCCGTCCACGTCCACGTCCAGTCCAGCGTCCGTCCGTCCTCTCCTTTGCCTTTTCGCTGCTTTGCTTTCCCAAAAATCCAAATCCTCTATCCGAGCAACCATCCTACCTCACTGCACCTTACCTTACCTCCTCGTCCCCCGTACCCAAGACTTGGACACCCGTAATCAACCACCCAAATCCAATCCAATCCCATTCCACCCCCGACGCTCTTTCCTTTGTCGATTCGCTTCGATCGAAACCGGCCTTGATCATTCTCTCTCAATCCCTCCTCCTCTTTCTCCTCCTCCTCCTCCATCTGCCCCCGCGGCATTGCACAGGTGAGTTTTCGCCCCCCGTCTCCTCGTCCATTTATTCCCCCCTTCTCCCGCCCCGAACGAAGACGCTCGTTCCACGGGGTGGTGGGAAAACGCGGCAACCACCGCCAAAGCGGAGTCAAAGGAGGGAAACTCTAATCAAACTGACACGATATGCTCGCTCACCAGGAACGTTCTTCTCACAACACCACCACCGCCTCCTCTACCGCCCATCCTCCAACCTCATCAACTGCTGTCGCCTCAGCCTCAGCCACCGTCGCTGTCCCTTCAACAGCCGAGTCTTCTACGTCTCGCCAACGGCAGGACCAGGACGCCAGCCATCGTTCCGACGACGAACCGTCCCGACGACAACCAGTTTCTGCTACCCCTTCGACGTCAGCTGCTACTGCCGCCGCCGCCGAACCTGTTGCCTCGTCGTCATCAGTCCCTTCCTCGTCAAAGGCTCCAGCCCCCCGATCCGCGACAACCATGCCTCAGTACACCTCTCGCGATGTCGGCGACCCGTCGCAGATCAAGAAGAACAAGCAGTCAATGGCCGACCTCAAGCTGCGACGGTTAACGGAACTGAACAACCGCCTGCGCGAAGATCTCGAGAGGGAACGCATCCCCGTTAGCAATGCTTCTAAGAGGTAGGTTTATCATCAAACAACGCGTCGTCGAAGGGTTCGGCGGATGCAATTCATCATCAGCATTAAGGGGAATCGTGACTAATTCATCTTTCAGCATCATTGCCTACTGCAACAGCACGAGGGATTACATGGTCCCGTCGGTTTGGGGCGCTGTCCCCCGCGGCGAAGACCCCTACGCACCACAACAAAGCGGCGGATGCTGTTTGGTGATGTAAAAAAAATTTAACGGACGTACGTGGGTAGCGATGTCGTTTAATCGGAATCATCGAGATGCTCCGATCGGATAGTCATTTTTGTTTTACGCGTGGAATACCAACCCCCCGAGGGCCATCGGGCAATGCAGCACAAACCTCCCGGAAACAGCGAGCAAATCCCCACCCCACGAAGAACCGAGAAGAGACGATGTTGTTTGTTTTTATCGCGGTCGTGGAATCATCGGAAACCATCAAGAGTCCTAGACTAGCGCGGAGTCGAAGAGGAAACGAAAACGAAACACGTTCCCCAGGATTGGGATCATACGACAAAGTGGTCGGACATTTGTCAACGAAAAGACAGGATCCTTTGTCTACCTTTCGATGGATCAACAGTCAATCAGAACGGACGACAGCGATTACGGGTCAGTAATATCTGGGAACGCAGGAGCTTCGGCGTGTAGGGGGACGGGAGGAGGCGAGGCGAGTCGAGATGAGAGAGGAAAAGAGGCAATGGCCCCCGCTACGATAATGCTTCTATGTTTCCTATTCTGTTGCCATTGGGGAGAGAGGAGATGGTTGTCGGGGAGGCAGGGCTTATTGGCGGACGGCTCTTCAGCATGTAATAATTCTCTTGATGTCCTGTACTCTTTTTTTCCTTCTCTGGGTCTGTCTGCTACCCTTTATTCCCACTATATCCCGCACCTAGTGTGTGAATAGCTTCAATCCATCAACGCCTTGTCTCCCCAGACTCTTCGCATTACTGTTTCGACTTGATGGTGTGTAGGTTGACGATGCACTTGGGCTGTTACGACAGATGCGAGCTTCAGCCTCCGTACGCGGGTATGGTATCACAGCCTCACTTTGGAGAAGGGCACGCCACAGAAACCCTCAGCATAGGTGCGTCGCGCGCCCTCGGAGCCACGAAATCACTCGCATCTGTTGTGGTTCCATATCAGGTCATTTCCGCCAACCAATGGCCGCATTGGCGGGACCGGGGGGTTAAGAGAGAGAGGATCAGGACTGGACGGGACATTGAACCACATCGGTCAGCGACCGCCGACCGCCTTCAGGATTCAATGAACGGCACAGCAACAGCAAAACGGGGGGTTTGGTCCCGAAGGCCTGGGGAGTGGGAAGGACGGACGGCCCAATGACGAGACATCAGGCCACGCCGGCGCCGAAGAAGCAAGAACATACGCCAACGAGAGACCGGACAAGCTTTCGGTTTCGGGGGGCGGCTGATGGAGCCTCTTCTCTGTTTTTGTGCGAGATTTCTCAGGTGAGGGCATCTGAGACATATGCAGCGTCCCTTTTTTTTCTACAGCAGGTAAAGTACCTTAGCTAAGGTGGCTAGCAAGGGGGGCGCAAGACTTTTTTATTTATCCATGTATTACAACAAATCCATCTGCGGTAAGGCTCGACGAAACACTGCGGACGGACCTGCCTTGCAGGAGCAGGAGTGAAGAAGAAGTGAGGGACGCGGCTGCGATAATGCGGTGCTACTGGCTGGGATTTGGGATTTCGGGGGGGAAGAACGGTCAGAGGGGTGTTTCCCCATTGTTCATTTCAATTTCGCCCGGGGTGGTGGTCGAGGTGCACACACATATGAGGTACACACTTCGGGTACAACCACCTTAGGAGTTAGGGGCCCTGTTCACCTCATCTTGCTTGCGGACGGGTTGGCAAGCCACACGCTATTGGCCTCTTTTTTGTATTTTCCGATGGATTCAATCAATCTTCCCCTTTTTTCTCGAATTCGCTGCGACTCTCAAGCTTTGCGAATAATCCGGATACAGCCTTGCTTTCGGTAAGAAGAGGAAGGTCGACTGCATCCCTTTCTCCACTCCCAACACCAAACAAATGGAAAACCCACAACTTGATTCAATTCCCGTCAGTCTCCCGCTGTCCAAGCCGACAGCTTCGGCGGTCCATAGGCGCTTTACTGCGTACGGCAGGCAGCTGTAGCCTGTGGTAGTGCTGCTGCTGCTGCTCAGTGCTGCCGGTCCATCTCTCTCCCAATCAATCGCCGCGCGACGTCGCGTTACATCGAGACTCCACCGGTACCTGAATTCCTGCCGGGTCTTTTCCTGCACGGCGTCGAAGGTGGAGGTCGGAGCCACCTCCTGCCACAAGCTCTTCTCTCTCCCTCTCACTCTCTCACGATATGAGGTTTTCCGGTTGCTTTGCTCAAGACGTTGTGTCGCTTGTTGGTTGGCGTGAGGGAGGAGGGGACGAGAACACACGCACTCCCGACACCCACAGCGATTTTGCCCGTTTTCTGTCAGGCTTGCAGGCTTGGTTGGTGTGGTTGCTCGTGCTGTTGGTTTGTTTGTCACGCACTTAACCGATTTCCCCCGGGTGCCCCATTATGCTTATGTCGGGGTTAAATACCTCCACCCCCAAACCGAAAATGCAAATGGAGTGAGGTGGTTTCCCAATTTTACCCTCCGCCGGCGCCGGCCACTTCTTTTCTTTGTCAGCTGCAAGCCTTCTGCCGTGGCTTTTGCACCAGGCCCAAGCTCTGCGCAGAGCATGGCCACAGCTCCCTCGGTCGTCCTAAAATGGGGGGCCCGCGGAACAATTGTGGCGTCCAACCCGGGCACCCTCACCCCTCATCCGACTGGGGCCCCTCTTCCCGGGGCAGAAGCCGCCCGCCCGATGACGCAGGATGAACCCGTTCCAACAGCCCGCCTTGGTTTTCCTTGCTTCGCGAGATATCACACTCACCCTAAGCTGGGTCCTACCGAGCCACCCGAACGGTTGAACCCGATCTGCGAGATTATCGATTTCGAGAGCATTCATCGGGTAGACGAGGCCAGCCACTCTTTAGACGTTCGATATCTAGACCGTTTGGAGGAGACTCCCCCGCACCCGCGAACCAACCTCTTGTGGTCGATCGCGAACCGAAGCATCGAGACTCGCAGGCACCCGTGAAGAAGAAGAGCAAAGCATAGCACCGAAGAAAATACAGAGTCGCATCCTACCATTCCTTGCTGTCATCTTCGAAAGCCGCCCTACAAGATGGCAGAAGCCGCGCCGTCGCAGTCAGCACCCTTCCCCCTCCCCCGCGTAGCCATCCAGTTCTGCACCCAGTGTAAGTGGATGCTCCGCGCAGCATATGTAAGTCGCCTCCCCGGGCAGCAGCAGCAACCCAGCCCGGCTCCTTCGCGCAACACAGCCCTCGCCGAATGACCTCATCCCTCATCACGTCTACTCCGTCCCTTAACCTCACATTATTCCCATTCTCACCCTGACGCTTCCAAATCACCACCGTACCAAGTTATCATCACCCGACCTTACCACACCTTACGATCCAAGAAACTAACAACCACTCCTCCGTCCCCAGTTCGCCCAGGAACTCCTCTCGACCTTCTCAACCTCCATCGGCGAAGTCGCCCTCCAGCCCTCCACAGGCGGCACCTTCACCGTCACCCTAACCCACCTCCCCGAGGGCGCGACGACCACCACCTCCACGATCCTCTGGGACCGCAAGGCCGAGGGCGGCTTCCCCGAGACCAAGGAGCTCAAGCGCCGCCTGCGGGACGTCATCGAGCCCAACAGAGACCTGGGCCACGTCGACCGCAAACACGGCAAGGCCCCTACTACAGGGACACCAACACAAGCAGCAGCAGCAGCAGCAGCAACAATGTCCGAAGACAAGACTAACGACACCTTCGCGGACAACCTCCCCTCCGCGGCAGGAATCACCTCCCAGCTCAAGAAGCACCCGGCCAACGCACAGAAGAAGGACGAGCCGAGCACGACGGAAGAGAAGAGCCCCTTCGACGACGCGGCGCGGGCCGCGATAGCCGCCGCGGGCGCCAACAAGGGACAGCAGGGCAGGGCGGAAATATCGCCCGCCGGCCAGAGACCCGGAGCTCAAGAGAAGGAGGCGGCGGCGGCGGGAGACAAGAAGGAGGTTTGCGAGGACTGCGCGTGAGGATGGACGAAGGTTGGGCCTTTCTCGACGCGGGTTTGGCAATGGCTACGGGATCCCACCTCGCCCTGTGTGAGGTCTTGCGAAACGGGACGACTTCTGCCCATACTGTTTCTCTCCATCATCGTTGCGAGGGTGATTCTCGATCAGGGGACAAGAGAGCTTCCGGAATGCGGGTTCTCGCACTAGCAAGTTGGACCTGACATGATCATGACGGGAACGGCACTTGGGTCGCCGTGGTTTGATTACACGAGAGGATCCATGCTGAGGATCCATGCTGACGGTACACACCGAGTCCCGGTACGAATTCACTTCAACTATACCTATACCAATACGTCAACCACTAGAAGAAATAAAAATAAAAGTCGAAAGCCAAGGCCCCCTGTTGCATTGATAAGCCGCTGTGGCATCCTATCCCGCAGCATCGACGAAGACCTGACCACGCCGGGTCGAACGATCCACGCAAATGCTTTGTGTACAGAAAAAGACCGTCAACCTGGGTCAGAACGCCAGACCCCTCATTCCAAAGATGGTGCCGAGAGGCGCTGCCCTGGACGGAGTCTCGGTTTCTGCACCCCCCCGCTAGCAGACCAGGTACCTCCCACCGAAACAGAGAATAGAGATCAGGAGGAAAAAAGTACAAGTAACAGAAGAAAAACCACCGCCTGACAACAAATGTTGGCACTGTCGCCCGGCCGATGCAGTGCCTCCCCCGTCGTCCTCCACAAAAGTGACATGCCAACCCCGCGAACACGACCTTAGCGATCGAGACCGAAACGCAGTCTTACAATGAGCCAAGACGAGGTGGACTGAGACACGGCTGCGTCTCAAAGCTTGGGGACGAGTATCTGGAGTCGCGAACACAAGCGAAGGATCAATGTCACGTTCGCCAGTGGGAAGGCGACCCGTGCCAGATGGCACGTAGTCATCTAGGGAAATGGCGAGCCAACGCAGTTTCAACAGTGTGGTTGACAAGGCCAAACGCCGACATTGCGTCTCCTGCCTGCCATATTGCGCGCAGTCACAAATTAAGAGGCCCCGGACAGTTAACATCCGTCGGGGCTCGCACAGCGACACGTGAGCTGGTGTGGAAACGATTGCAAATTCCAGTGTTTTTGTGTGTTTATCTTCAGCTACCAGACAGCCGTAATCGTGAACAGTTGCGCGGATTGTATTTGGGTGGGTGGACTCGGGAAGACTCGGACAGGTTGAAGAGTTGACGGAGGAAGACCCCGGAGGGGCCCAGAGAGCGGGAGGACGGAAGGTGCGGGGATGAGCCGCGTCGATGGGCGAAGAAGTCGTACGGTCGAGATGGGCGAGGAGGCAATTAACGACGGCCGAACCTAAAAGACGCATGTTGGAATAAACTCTTGATATCACTTGGAAGCGGACTTCCAGGGAGATGTGACTGGTCGGCTGTTGCCTCCGAGACCACCGGGGACGTACTTTTGTTTCTTCTCAGCGGGTTTCAGAATCTGTTTTGGCCAAACGTCAGCAATCTGTGCAGGTCAGTTGAATCCAACAACACTGACCTGGAACGAGCAGAGTAAGCTCTCGTCGACACTCATCATGGCGCCAGCATTGTCAAACTCTCCACAGTAGTTGGGTGCGCTGAACAGAGTAACAAGTTGGCGCTTGGAGAAGAATTCGTAGCCGTCCTCGACAACCTGATGGGCACGGCAGATCAGGTCCATATCGTGCTTCTGCAAGAAGCGGGACACAACGTCCGGACCGAAGGTGAAGGAGACACCTCTGTCGTTTTCGCTCCAGCCGGTAATATCCTTGTCAGGGTCGGACCACAAGAGGTCGCAAAGAAGACCGCAGTCGGGGATCTGCAAGATAGCATGTCAATGATCTGAGTATATCGAACGAGCGGCCAAGGCTTGGCTCGGGAAGAAAGGCACATACGTCAGTGGGTCGCATAACGCGGCGAATCTGCTCCATGGAGTTCAGATCAGGGCTGAGGCCACCGTGCATAGTGAAAATCTTCTCGTCGATGATAGCGGCGATCGGAAGGCAGTTGAAGCAGTCGGTGAAGGTCTTCCACAGCTTGATGTTGTATCTACGCTTGCACTCATCGTAGAAGCCATAGATACGGTTGATGGAGGCGCACTCGTGGTTGCCGCGGAGAATGAAGAAGTTCTCGGGGTACTTGATCTTGTAGGCGAGAAGCAGGCAAATAGTCTCGAGGGACTGCTTGCCACGGTCCACGTAGTCACCAAGGAACAGGTAGTTGGCCTCGGGAGGGAAACCGCCGTACTCGAAGAGACGCAGCAAGTCGTAATATTGTCCGTGGATATCGCCGCAGATCTGAATGAGGGGTCGGGCGTCAGCAGGTCTGTGCTACTCGGGAAAAACAAAGCGACAGATGCAGAAAAAAAGCTGCTGCGAGCCGAGCGGCTGCTTACCTTGATGGGGGCCTCAAGCTCCAAAAGAATAGGCTGTGAAATGAAAATCTCGCGAGCCTTGGTGCACAAGTAGCGGATCTCAGCCTCGAGGAGCTGGACCTGCTTGCCGGGACGGCTTCCTCGAACCTCGAGGAGACGGTCGATTATCGAGTCAAGGTCGACCTCGTGTTGGTCCGCCATCTTTTATCCTCACCAGCCAGATGGCCCGCTGATACCGAGGGGATGATTCGCGTTTGCTGTAAGCAAGGGTACCAGGTGTGTGCTTTTTTTTTCTGCGCCCGTAGACCAAAGGTGCCCGGATTACAGGGATGATGCACTTCTCGTGACTGTGCCGGCAGGGTCAAATTAGTATGTTACGCGATGAAATGAGCGTTGGCCGAGGGCTGGATGCGAGGCGCCGAGAAATGGCGGGCAATGTGGTGAGAAGGCTCGAGAGGGGAAATGTGGAAGGTACGGGGCGAAAAGACTTACGGCGAAGTGATCTCAGCTCTTGGGTGGCCTTTCTTCCTGTCGGAGAGATGGCTGCGACGGACAGGCGGATTGATGAGCAATCTGCGCAGAGGTCTATCGTGTGGTAGAGTGTACCGTCGTCGATGAGAAAATTTTCGTCGTCCCGTTGGGGGGATCGAGTTCGCCTGAATATGGGGGGATTCGCCGCTTAGTAGGGCCGTCGCTGTTGATAGCTTCGCTTGTTTCAGCAGGAGCCGCGAAAGCCGTGGTCAGCGGTGTTGGTAGTCGTTGGAATGAATATTCGTCGTTTTGTTGAGTATGCTCGAGAGATGAAGGTCTCTATTTCGCGTTGTCGTCTTGATCAGACGTGTCGTCGCCGTTGGGTGAAAAGGTGGCCTCGCGGGGGAAAAAAGAGGCTTTTGGGGGAGGGAAAGATGAGGGTGGGTTTGAGGGAGGATTTTCGTGTTTTGTGTTGGGCGGCGGGCAGCTCGGTCGGAAAGGACGTGGAAGGCGAAGGCAGGCTCAGGCTCAGGCACAGGCAGTGGGTGGCAGTGGCAGTGGCAGCGCGGCAGCAGAAGCAGCAGCGGGTAGGAGGAGGAGACGGGAGAGTGGACGTGGATCGCTCTTTCCTCTGAGGTGCGCGAGTACTGCGCTGGGTATGAGGGGGGCGGCTTCGTACTGCAGGGGGTAGTTTGTTAAAGAGGGATAGTGCTATGGGCACTATGCGATCGCCGGATGCTGATTGTGCAGGTATTATGGACTCGAGCTTCTGTTGACAGCGGTAGTTCGGTCAGGCAGAGAGAGGGAGAGAGAAGCAGTCAAAAGACGGAATAAAAAAAATAATAAACCTGGGAGGGATTTTGGAATGACGGTCACGATTCACTTGTTTCGCCGTTGGTGGACGGCAAAATTTGGGATGCAAAATGAGCAATGGAGGTCGAAGGTTTCTCTGGAGACCAAGGGTAAGAAGAGCGTGGACCGGGAAAATGTCAGGGATGGTGAAGGAGAGAGGACCGAAGAAAATTTAGGAAGGGAGATCTGGAAGGAAGAAAAATTGGGGTCAATCAGTGGTCGAGACTTTTTTTTTTTCCTCTTCCCTTTTCCCTACCGCTACCTACCTAATTGCTATCCGTACCTACCTTACCTAGGTATTGCTACGAATACGTGCAACAAGCTACCTTATGGCCCGACATGACTTCTCAGTGGCCGGGCTATCATAAAGGGTGCTGCCCTCCTCCCCTCTCTTCTGTCCCGGTGCGGTGACGGCGAACCTGTTGCGTGCTGTGTTTCTACCGTACCTAGGTATGTAAACATGAGCGCGCGTCGCTGACAGATGGTGTTTATGTAAGGTTTCCAGACACGGCTCGTGAGGATGTTCCGCGGGCGGCCAACAATGTGTGGTGGTGTGCAGCGGTGTGTAATGTGTGATGGCGCATCAGCATCAGCAAGCGCCTCCCGTTTCCCGTTTCTCAGCGCGCCTCCCCAGATCGTAAGCCAGTCACCTTACGGATAGCAAGCATCAGGTCGGGCAGGCACGTTTCTCATCAACGGGAGGAATGGGAAAGCGCGACCCAGGCGTGGGTAGCACCGGCGGGGTGTTCCTTCTTGATCGCGCCTTCCCAGGCCTCTGACGAATACCTTCTATGCCTTGCCATACCCGTGCCTTTTTGTTTTTTTGAAACAGCTTCCCGTCCTTACCTACCTACTTCCAGAGAATAGAAGTTACCCGTCAACCGAATATCTCTAGACATAATGGATTAATCATGTAGGGGCCATACATATCTATCCGTCTCCAATAACTTGTCGTGCTCATCTGAGCACTAACACGATCGCAGGCAGTCTTCAGGGCAGTTTAGAAACATGTCGCCTCAGTGGAGCTGGTCACACACAGCACGCCGAACCGATCTCCAAATAGATACAATGGAAAACACCACCATCCATCATCCATGGATGGCATTTCATCTGTTCCACGTTCCAGCAGCCGGGGTCAACCACTGGGTCGATTGCCAGGGGTCACAGGGGACCTCAGAGAGCCTGAAAGCTTACCTTACTCCCGTCTGTAGGGCGACTGACCTGGACTGCCCGTGGACCCGACGTGGGTGACAATGGAACACCCCAAACCAGGTGGCAGCGGTAGTGGCAGTG